TTTTTCTCTCATTAAAGTTCATAAGTGTCAACGGTCATTTTTTATTATTCATTATTGTGGCAACAGTTTTTGACCAAGTTTCTGTTCTATAAATAGGCATTTCCTGCATTCCAAAAAACACATAAAATCAAGCTTTCTCTTATCCTCTCCAAAGGAAACTTTATTCCTCAAGCTATCTTCTTAATTTTTCTTCCTTTTTTTTCTTATCCTCTTTATATCCTAGGTTTATTCTTTTACACTCTTTAGAATCCCTTGCTAGTTCTGAGATCCTTAGAAGTTTCTGAGAAGTACCTGTTATATCATGAGGGACTTGCGCAATACACCGTGAATAAGTCCTTAAGAAAGTGAAACTACACGGTTCAGGAAATACGATTCGTAATTTTGTCAGGTTTTTTACAACATAACCAAGTTATCTCGAAGCCAAAATCGAACCAAGTTATCTTGAAGCTAGAACCGTGCCAAGTCAGTTCAGGCTGAAATTCGAGTTGAGTCAGCCCGAAACAAAGGGACGAGAAGAGCCAACTAGAACTAAAGGTTGAGTAGGAAAGTCTAGCAGAGTCCGCCCAAGTCAAAAGGTTCCGACAGAGTCTGCCCAAGCCAAGCGTTTGAGCTAAGTTAGCTTAAACCGAGTGGTCGAATTAAGTTAGTCCGAACCAAATAGTCAAACTGAGTTGACTCATGATAAATGTCAAGACGAGTAATGTTAGAGTAAAGATCAAGACAAGTCGTTTAAATGAAAGTCCAAACGAATCAATATAAATCAAAAGTTGAAATAGTCTTTTATAAAACATATTTAAGAAATGAATTTAAATCTAATAATGTAATAACCCTAACCCTAAACCCATTCTAAGATAAGACTTCGAGGATTGAGATCATTTGGTAGGCCAATAAAAATGGACTTATTTAGAAATGGATTAGAATTTACACATGGATCAAATTAACACGGGAGTCTTTTACTAAAACAATACATAAAAGGGAAAAATTAGTTTTCCTGGAATCTATAACCATTGTCTGAATCGAATGAAATGGTTCGAAAATCAGTACAACAAAATTCAACACTTATGCATAACATCTCTAGGTTTGGTTTGGATGTGATCCAATTACAAANCATTTGTAGGTTTAGTTGCATCATTTAGATTTTGCATTTATAGTTTTTAGGTTATGTTATTAGGCAGTAGCAATGTTTAGTAGTTTAGGTCCTTTTATTTTGCATTAGTTTCTTAGTCTAGTTTAGGTTTCATATTAAAGTTTTATTTTCTTTAATTCTTTATTGATAATTTCATTGTTTTCATTCCTTTCCCCCACCTGTTAGTTAGTAGTTAGTAAATAAATACAAGACTAAACTCTACATTCTGAACTTAATCATAGTTGAGTCCTTGGATTGATACCTAGGTTGTTCCTTTACTACATTAGTGGGGAAACTTATTTTGTTCTGATTTTGCGCGACCAATAGTTTAACAGTGGAGGAGAATTTATCTCTAGAGAAAGAAAAAGAAATAATAATATGAGGTTGGGTTTCTGATTTTTAATTATTACACCCCCAAATTAATTTCAGCATCTCTTGTCATAAGTGATGCAGTGAACCATTATCAGATATTTAAGTAATTTTTCGTATACTCTACCTACAAATGAGAAAAACACAACCAAGTATTTTCTCATTTACCAAACTGAAACATTTTAAAATTGTGGGGGTGTAGGTAAGTTTACTTAATTACTTGAAGAAATAAGGGTTTTTCACCTAATGATATTACTCTAAATATGGAAGTAGAGAATATGTCGTTATATATTTATGTATGAACGATATGCTAATGATTGACATATGCAGTCAGATAGTCTCTAAAAACTAAGGTTTTGAGAATCTCATTTTGCAATATATGTTACCTTAAAGAGAAGTCAATAAGATTAGATTTTAGAAGGTAGAATCATAAGGGAGATAGATAGTATATTACTATTCCAAAACAATACAATGAAAAACCTCTTAAGAAGTTTAAGTATTGTGACTTCAAAAACAGTGAGAACCCATTATGATGCTAACTCTAAATTAATGCAAGGTGGAGGAGAATCTATTCTCAACCTCAGTATGCCCAGATAGACGGGAGCTTACTGCACTTGATGAGTTTTTTTATACCTGATATTGTTTATGTAGTAAGTAAAATGAGTAGATACACTCAATGTCCATATCAAGAACATTGATATTCTCTTTCCAAGCTTATGAGATACTTAAGAGGTTTAATGGGTTATGCCATTTAATATAATGGATTTTCCGTTGTACTAGAAGGGTACAATGATGCTAACTAGATCTCTGATTCAAATGAGACAAAATGTACTAGTGGTTATGTATTCACACTTAGGGGGAGTGTGATTACATGGAGATCAGCCAAATAAATAATTATTACAAGATCAACAATGGAATGAGTTTGTTGTTCTTGAGATTACTAGTAGTGAGGCTGAGTGGTTGAAAAACTTCTTAGCAAACATTCCATTAGGAATGAAACCAACTCTATTGGTGTCAATACACTATGATTGCCAATCGGCAATAGTTATAGCTAAAAACAAGAATTATAATGGAAAGAATAGACATATACAATTGGGACACAATTTGGTGAAGCAGATGCTAAAGAGTAGAATTATTTCCATTGATTATGTAAAGTCATAACGGAATCTAGTAGATCCTCTAACAAAATCTCTAGGAAGACAAATGATATTAGAAACATCGAGGGGAATGAGACTTAAGCCACTTGCAAACAAACAAATGATGGTAACTCAACCTTTGTGATTAGAGATCCCATGAATAAGGTTCATATGGGTAAAAGCAAGTCACTAGTTAGTTCTGATAGCACTAAATTAATTTTAATCAATTATGTCCATTTTTATGGTGTGTGTGAAAGTTTTAGAGACTTGCATTATGAGAGGTTAAACTTTATCATTAAAATTCTATGTGGTGAAAGAATTTTAGCTTAAACAAAGTTTTTAATGATTTTCATATCCCTTATGGGTAGTGTAAGATTTGCAGCATACACTTAATGAAATCACCTATATGAGTGTCGAGTGGGATCGCTTGCATGTGATCTTGGCATGATCTCTAGAGCACTCATGAATATTGAACACGCGCATGACCTAATAAGCGCAACACAACGATAACAAGGATTATGGGGTTATATTGTGGATAAACCTCTAACACACGACAAATGTCTTTGCTTCATATAGTTTGTTATACCAACTACACTATGTGTTAAATTTCTTGATCTAAGACTAGTTTATATAGCTTGCTATACCAGCTCTGATGCATTACAACCTATGAAACCCAAAATAAAAGTTTCTTATCTTTCTTTTTCAATATGTGAGGGATTGTTATAAAATAATAATAATTGCAAAAGAAACGTTAGTTTTAAACGTTGGCCAACAGTTTTTATTTTATCATTAACGTTCATAAGCATACAATTTTTTTCTCTCATTAAAGTTCATAAGTGTCAACGGTCATTTTTTATTATTCATTATTGTGGCAACAGTTTTTGACCAAGTTTCTGTTCTATAAATAGGCATTTCCTGCATTCCAAAAAACACATAAAATCAAGCTTTCTCTTATCCTCTCCAAAGGAAACTTTATTCCTCAAGCTATCTTCTTAATTTTTCTTCCTTTTTTTTCTTATCCTCTTTATATCCTAGGTTTATTCTTTTACACTCTTTAGAATCCCTTGCTAGTTCTGAGATCCTTAGAAGTTTCTGAGAAGTACCTGTTATATCCTGAGGGACTTGCGCAATACACCGTGAATAAGTCCTTAAGAAAGTGAATCTACACGGTTCAGGAAATACGATTCGTAATTTTGTCAGGTTTTTTACAACATAACCAAGTTATCTCGAAGCCAAAATCGAACCAAGTTATCTTGAAGCTAGAACCGTGCCAAGTCAGTTCAGGCTGAAATTCGAGTTGAGTCAGCCCGAAGCAAAGGGACGAGAAGAGCCAACTAGAACTAAAGGTTGAGTAGGAAAGTCTAGCAGAGTCCGCCCAAGTCAAAAGGTTCCGACAGAGTCTGCCCAAGCCAAGCGTTTGAGCTAAGTTAGCTTGAACCGAGTGGTCGAATTAAGTTAGTCCGAACCAAATAGTCAAACTGAGTTGACTCATGATAAATGTCAAGACGAGTAATGTTAGAGTAAAGATCAAGACAAGTCGTTTAAATGAAAGTCCAAACGAATCAATATAAATCAAAAGTTGAAATAGTCTTTTATAAAACATATTTAAGAAATGAATTTAAATCTAATAATGTAATAACCCTAACCCTAAACCCATTCTAAGATAAGACTTCGAGGATTGAGATCATTTGGTAGGCCAATAAAAATGGACTTATTTAGAAATGGATTAGAATTTACACATGGATCTAATTAACACGGGAGTCTTTTACTAAAACAATACATAAAAGGGAAAAATTAGTTTTCCTGGAATCTATAACCATTGTCTGAATCGAATGAAATGGTTCGAAAATCAGTACAACAAAATTCAACACTTATGCATAACATCTCTAGGTTTGGTTTGGATGTGATCCAATTACAAAAGACATTGACAACTAGTTATAAACTAAGAGAAAATTACTTGAAGGTAAACCTTGTTCATAATCTTTTAAATAAATTATTAGTTTAGCATAAAAATTTATTTGCATTATATTAACAATAAATTATTTTTTGTTTTGCTAGTCCCACCCCGCTAACAAAAACTTTAAAAAATAAGCTTGGTCGATTGTGATACGAGGATTTGAATATTGTTGATACGGATGAAATTGCTAATCGGAACGACTACACTGCATCAGACATCGATGACTCTTTTGCAACAATTTTGTGGAAGAACTACAAATTTAGGAATGGAAAACTTTTTATATGATGCTAACAGTTATACATTCATACTACCATATAACTATGAACTACTCTTCTAGCCTTGTTAACCCTTGCCTGATCCTTTGTTTCCTTAAAACAATCATATTTAGACAGGAAATGGAGAAGCACATATCGACAGAAAATGATATTTACAAACATAAAAACAACATCAGATAACTATGTCCATGATACACTCTGATGCATACAACACTTCCATAACCATTCACACTCCAATTATTCATACAATCACGTCTGACAGCTTCATAATAGCATCCTCAAAAGGAGACCTAGACCACCAATATGAATCACAAAGCAGAAACTAGAATTGCTTGTCATCATTCCGCACTCCATCAACATGTAAAACAAAGTAACCTTTACCACAAAATGCTATATATCCAAACAAAGGGCCCCAGCAATTCNAACATTTTAAAATTGTGGGGGTGTAGGTAAGTTTACTTAATTACTTGAAGAAATAAGGGTTTTTCACCTAATGATATTACTCTAAATATGGAAGTAGAGAATATGTCATTATATATTTATATATGAACGACATGCTAATGATTGACATATGCAGTCAGATAGTCTCTAAAAACTAAGGTTTTGAGAATCTCATTTTGCAATATATGTTGCCTTAATGTGAAGTCAATAAGATTAGATTTTAGAAGGTAGAATCATAAGGGAGATAGATAGTATATTACTATTCCAAAACAATACAATGAGAAACCTCTTAAGAAGTTTAAGTATTGTGACTTCAAAAACAGTGAGAACCCATTATGATGCTAACTCTAAATTAATGCAAGGTGGAGGAGAATCTATTCTCAACCTCAGTATGCCCAGATAGACGGGAGCTTACTGCACTTGATGAGTTTTTTTATACCTGATATTGTTTATGTAGTAAGTAAAATGAGTAGATACACTCAATGTCCATATCAAGAACATTGATATTCTCTTTCCAAGCTTATGAGATACTTAAGAGGTTTAATGGGTTATGCCATTTAATATAATGGATTTTCCGTTGTACTAGAAGGGTACAATGATGCTAACTAGATCTCTGATTCAAATGAGACAAAATGTACTAGTGGTTATGTATTCACACTTAGGGGGAGTGTGATTACATGGAGATCAGCCAAATAAATAATTATTACAAGATCAACAATGGAATGAGTTTGTTGTTCTTGAGATTACTAGTAGTGAGGCTGAGTGGTTGAAAAACTTCTTAGCAAACATTCCATTAGGAATGAAACCAACTCTATTGGTGTCAATACACTATGATTGCCAATCGGCAATAGTTATAGCTAAAAACAAGAATTATAATGGAAAGAATAGACATATACAATTGGGACACAATTTGGTGAAGCAGATGCTAAAGAGTAGAATTATTTCCATTGATTATGTAAAGTCATAACGGAATCTAGCAGATCCTCTAACAAAATCTCTAGGAAGACAAATGATATTAGAAACATCGAGGGGAATGAGACTTAAGCCACTTACAAACAAACAAATGATGGTAACTCAACCTTTGTGATTAGAGATCCCATGAATAAGGTTCATATGGGTAAAATCAAGTCACTAGTTAGTTCTGATAGCACTAAATTAATTTTAATCAATTATGTCCATTTCTATGGTGTGTGTGAAAGTTTTAGAGACTTGCATTATGAGAGGTTAAACTTTATCATTAAAATTCTATGTGGTGAAAGAATTTTAGCTTAAACAAAGTTTTTAATGATTTTCATATCCCTTATGGGTAGTGTAAGATTTGCAGCATACACTTAATGAAATCACCTATATGAGTGTCGAGTGGGATCGCTTGCATGTGATCTTGGCATGATCTCTAGAGCACTCATGAATATTGAACACGCGCATGGCCTAATAAGCGCAACACAACGATAACAAGGATTATGGGTTATATTGTGGATAAACCTCTAACACACGACAAATGTCTTTGCTTCATATAGTTTGTTATACCAACTACACTATGTGTTAAATTTCTTGATCTAAGACTAGTTTATATAGCTTGCTATACCAGCTCTGATGCATTACAACCTATGAAACCCAAAATAAAAGTTTCTTATCTTTCTTTTTCAATATGTGAGGGATTGTTATAAAATAATAATAATTGCAAAAGAAACGTTAGTTTTAAACGTTGGCCAACAGTTTTTATTTTATCATTAACGTTCATAAGCATACAATTTTTTTCTCTCATTAAAGTTCATAAGTGTCAACGGTCATTTTTTATTATTCATTATTGTGGCAACAGTTTTTGACCAAGTTTCTGTTCTATAAATAGGCATTTCCTGCATTCCAAAAAACACATAAAATCAAGCTTTCTCTTATCCTCTCCAAAGGAAACTTTATTCCTCAAGCTATCTTCTTAATTTTTCTTCCTTTTTTTTCTTATCCTCTTTATATCCTAGGTTTATTCTTTTACACTCTTTAGAATCCCTTGCTAGTTCTGAGATCCTTAGAAGTTTCTGAGAAGTACCTGTTGTATCTTGAGGGACTTGCGCAATACACCGTGAATAAGTCCTTAAGAAAGTGAACCTACACGGTTCAGGAAATACGATTCGTGATTTTGTCAGGTTTTTTACAACATAACCAAGTTATCTCGAAGCCAGAATCGAACCAAGTTATCTTGAAGCTAGAACCGTGCCAAGTCAGTTCAGGCTGAAATTCGAGTTGAGTCAGCCCGAACCAAAGGGACGAGAAGAGCCAACTAGAACTAAAGGTTGAGTAGGAAAGTCTAGCAGAGTCCGCCCAAGTCAAAAGGTTCCGACAGAGTCTGCCCAAGCCAAGCGTTTGAGCTAAGTTAGCTTGAACCGAGTGGTCGAATTAAGTTAGTCCGAACCAAATAGTCAAACTGAGTTGACTCATGATAAATGTCAAGACGAGTAATGTTAGAGTAAAGATCAAGACAAGTCGTTTAAATGAAAGTCCAAACGAATCAATATAAATCAGTTGAAATGAGTCTTTTATAAAACATATTTAAGAAATGAATTTAAATCTAATAATGTAATAACCCTAACCCTAAACCCATTCTAAGATAAGACTTCGAGGATTGAGATCATTTGGTAGGCCAATAAAAATGGACTTATTTAGAAATGGATTAGAATTTACACATGGATCAAATTAACACGGGAGTCTTTTACTAAAACAATACATAAAAGGGAAAAATTAGTTTTCCTGGAATCTATAACCATTGTCTGAATCGAATGAAATGGTTCGAAAATCAGTACAACAAAATTCAACACTTATGCATAACATCTCTAGGTTTGGTTTGGATGTGATCCAATTACAAAAGACATTGACAACTAGTTATAAACTAAGAGAAAATTACTTGAAGGTAAACCTTGTTCATAATCTTTTAAATAAATTATTAGTTTAGCATAAAAATTTATTTGCATTATATTAACAATAAATTTTTTTTGTTTTGCTAGTCCCACCCCGCTAACAAAAACTTTAAAAAATAAGCTTGGTCGATTGTGATACGAGGATTTGAATATTGTTGATACGGATGAAATTGCTAATCGGAACGACTACACTGCATCAGACATCGATGACTCTTTTGCAACAATTTTGTGGAAGAACTACAAATTTAGGAATGGAAAACTTTTTATATGATGCTAACAGTTATACATTCATACTACCATATAACTATGAACTACTCTTCTAGCCTTGTTAACCCTTGCCTGATCCTTTGTTTCCTTAAAACAATCATATTTAGACAGGAAATGGAGAAGCACATATAGACAGAAAATGATATTTACAAACATAAAAACAACATCAGATAACTATGTCCATGATACACTCTGATGCATACAACACTTCCATAACCATTCACACTCCAATTATTCATACAATCACATCTGACAGCTTCATAATAGCATCCTCAAAAGGAGACCTAGACCACCAATATGAATCACAAAGCAGAAACTAGAATTGCTTGTCATCATTCCGCACTCCATCAACATGTAAAACAAAGTAACCTTTACCACAAAATGCTATATATCCAAACAAAGGGCCCCAGCAATTCATGATGAAACACTAGCCTCGCTCTGCCAAACATCAGGAAACTTTCTTGTTACTTTAGAGTATATGCCAGCATGATATGCGTGCAACCTTGAAAGAGAGGACAAAAGCACGAACCCAAGAATGAAAAGGGAGGGTGGAGAGTGGGACCCCAGTTGCCTAATGCGCATGCATTCAATCACCAAGAGAGTGCAACACTTGAGAGAAAAAAAAGTGTCCTCATTTACAGCAAAGCCCCCCACTACCATCTCCATCACTTCAACCTGTGATCTTTAATCCTCAAAAAAAAGCTACAGGATAATCATGTTGGTCAACAAATTGAAACCCCATATCCTGCACTCTTTTCCAACCCAAGTGCCAAAGTGCAATACTATCTATTTCAACATCAGTACCTTTATTTCCCAACCATATATGTGCACCTCCTCAAGAAAGAGGGTTAAACAAGACAAAATGCAAACATGCTAAGATAAACATATCAACCAACAAAGCTAATAAATCAAAGAACTACATCTTTTCACCATGGATGTGTCCTTCAACCAACATACTATAACCTTCGTGGCTGTGATTGACTCACTGATTGACTGTGAGTACTACTTAGTGATATTCTACCCCAAGAGAACCAGTTTGGGACATCAAAACTTTCAAGTACTCAATAGTTCCATCAATGACTAACATTGGCTCCTTTCCTTTTGCACCAGGAATTAAATTCTCCAGAACTCTCAAAGATTCCCGGATCTTATCCTTTTTTAATTTGATATCACACACCACTGAATCATCTACTTTAGTTTTATCAACAGAATATGTCCAACCACTAGAGTTCTTTGATTCAGCATCACTAACATAATCACAGGTTTCATTTGGTTGTACCACGGTAGTTTTGTCCACACGTGGGGATGACCTATTGTCGCCACCAGTAATTAACTTCATCTTTTTCTTAGGCCAATAAGAGCTGGCAACTTCCTCCTTTAAGTCCTCACATTGTTCTTGTATCGCATAAGTCCTTTTAGTTGCCAAAGGAGAACGATCTGTACTTGTTACCTCATCACAATTATCCTCATCATATTCACTGCTGTCATCATCGGAATAAAGCAATGCATTTATTTCTTCCGTATCTTCATGCTTTTCACTTTCTTCAATAACTGCATTATCCTTAACAGACTCTTCCAGTAAACCATAGCTGGCAAGATGCTTTTGACCCATAATTCTAGCCTGTTCCTCCCCATTTACGTCATAACTTTGAGCAATCTTCTTAGCAGTGACAATTGGACTCTGGACAAGAGGAGGAACATGCCCATAAAACAACCTTGTCTTATTATCAGAGCGGTCAAAGATAAGTAACCTCTTTTGCAAAGAAGGATTTGCATTTTGTAAAGCTCCTCCAAGATGCGTTTCTTTCAGGCTTGTGTCTACGTTGTGATACTTAAGGTATCCTTGCACTTCATTTGTTAGCTGAGTCTTCAGACTTTGAATAGAAGGAGCTACAAGCCCATGAGGTAAGATGGAAGTGCTTGAGTTCAGATATGTTGGGAGACCGAGTGAGCCGGGCTTAGGCAGCATGCTTAAGTAATTCAAAGAAGGTGATTGCCAAGCCACATGGTGTGAGCAAGGCAGGGAGCTGTCAGCCTTAACCATCTAACAAAACAAATGACCTACAGAACAATCAAACCAATCAGCCAATGTTAAATATGAAACCCTTTTGGTTGAAAAGATGAAAAAACCACATTGGAAAAAAGTACCAGTAGATGTTATGATGCTCTTGTAAGAGATCTTTTCTAACTTCCTGATTTTCTAAGGAAAAAGAGGGAAAAAGGGGAAACTACAAGCTCCAGCTTAAAGAGAAACAAATATGACTTAATCTACGTGACAGGCTTAAGCAAATGACGGAAGTACTCAGCCTGCAAAGAATCAAAAGATAGCATATGTCACTCATTGAGCTCATATTCATAAATCTAATAACGGATAATAGAGGCTTTTTAATATTCAATGGTCATAATGTTCATGTCTTATGCTGACACATACGGAAACTTCCATCCAACAAGCTTCGAAACCAAGGATATCATTAAAAAATATTGCAAATGGCAAACGCCAATCAGAAATATGTACTAACCTGACAAAAATGCAAAGGTTGAAAGCATGCTATCACTCTAACAATAATTGTTGCTTCACCGTTAATGCCATACTCATGTTTTAATGCTCGGAATCTTGTTTGGCTCGCTGCTTGGCACACCATAACTTCTTTTGTTTCTCACCACAATACTCAATCAATCTAATGTTATTGTACAAAGAGAAGAAAAGCCCAATAGAATATCAAAATGAAGATACCCAACCTAAACACAATCAGAATCAGCTAGAACTTTAGAATAACAAGAGATGAGAACATACTGAAAATACAAAATACAAAATACAGAATGTTCCTTCACTTCCTATCTTTTAGCCTATTCTATACTTATCAGAAGAAACGATCAAACAATTAGCTTCCATGGCAGTAGCTAAGCACAGATTTTTGGGAATGATGATCTACAGAATAACTTTACAATATAAGTTCAACTGTATAACTTGGCGGAACACATCAACAGAAAGACCCAACCAACGCATGCTGACTTTTCCTGTGTGGCTTTAGATATAATGAATTACTTAGACCTTCAGGCTGATATTATGCACTCAAAGAAACCAATATCCCTGAAACAAAATCATACCATAGAATAAACATCATGATTTCATTATACCAAAAACATCACAAAAAAATTGTTTTTTAATAAACCAAATAGCCTAATATTACAGTCAAGCCTTAAAAGAGAAAACATCAACAAATAAAATCTAATTTAACCGTTCATTCATTCAAAATAAACCTGTATGAACCTCATCCTTCTGTTAATTTTATTGTTCAAATGGAAACATCCATAATAAGCAAACAGAAACAGAAAATGAACATATTCACCACAGACTGACTTGTTCTCAAGTAACATACGAGGACATGAAGCACAAGTAGCCTAGTTCCAAAATCTGTCAACCATATGGGTTTCTTCAACATAAAGAAGAATAAAAAATAGCAAAAAAAAATACTACAATCCTCAAATTTCCCAAAAGCAGAAGCCTGTCAGTTAAACAGAGTATGATCCAATAAAGAAAAAGAAGCACATAGACAATCTTATAAGACTTGACTCCAAAAGCAAATTTCATCAAGGAGATCCTAATTCAACCAAAGGCTTAAGCTTTTCACTCCCCACCCCTTACCCACTAACCTTAGCAAATAATTCAGAAAACCCACAAAGGAAAAATACGAAGAAATCAAAGTTTGAAATACTTACAGATGGATTAGAAGGAAAGGATGTTTTGAATTGAGCAGAGTGAGAGAGACAAAAGAGAAGAGAAAAAGGGGTGATTGAGAATGAATAGGGAAGAGCAGGGAAGGAACCATTCACTACAAGAAGAAAATGTCCAAAGAGATACTGCTGAATGTGGATGCCACTGCTATATAGACAACTAAATGTGACTTTAGACTTAATTTCTTAGCAGTTGCTCATCAT